CCGGGTTTCAAAGAAAAAGCCTCATTTGTTTTGGGGGGGGGGGGGGGAGGTGTTTTTGGGGGGTCCTATCATCCACGAGCACTCATGATGTTGGGAAGGGGCAGGGAAGGGGATTCCTGCCTCCCTGGAGTTGCCTGGAGTGATTTATTTCTCCTCCAGGGAGGAACCACTTTGATTTCCCACCTCCTGACCTAAAAAATAGGTCCGAGGGGAAGGGAATAAATAAATAAAAATGGTTGTGGGTTTGGATTTTGGGGGTGTTTGTTGTTTTTTTGGGGGGGGAACCTTTCACAACCTGCCCGGCCTCGGGGGAGATGAAGGGTCGTCGCAGCCGTTCAGTGCACGAGTGGGAGGAGATGATGGGAAGTTCTCAGGTTCCTTGGGAAGTTGGGGGTGTGTTTTTGTTTTGGGGGGGGGGTTATGGAATTGGATTTGGAAAAAAAAAACAAAAAAACAACACAAAATTCAAAAAGAAACCAACACAACCACCAGCACCACCAGCCCCACCGACCCGACGCTGGTTACAAGAAGCACACGGGGCCGATCTCCACCCCGAACTCCTGCTCGGGGCCACCAATGTCCATGGGGGCAAAGTCCACAAGGGGCAGCCGGGAGGTCTTCTGGGAGCGGTACTCGATCACTGTCTTGCCCCACTTCCCAGTGTGTTTCTGATGGGGGGGGTTGGGGGGAGAGAAAATGGAGGGAGGGGGTTGTGAGGTGGCCTTGAAGCCTTCAAACCGACTTCGGGTTGAATCGTGGAACGGGTTGGGTTGGAGGGACCTTGGGGATCATCCAGTCCCACCCTCTGCATGGGCTTGAAGGTCCCTTCCAACCCAAACCATCCCAGGAGCTAAAGATGATCTAGATCCCACCCCCTGCACGGGCAGGGACATCTCCCACCAGCCCAGGCTGCTCCAGCCAACCTGCCCTTCAACACCCCCAGGGATGGGGCAGCCACAGCTTCCCTGGCCCAGGCTCTCCCCACCCTCCCAGCCAACAAGTTCCTCCTCAGCTCCAACCTCCAGCTCCCCACTGCCACTTTCAAGCCCAGCCTGTCCTCAGCACCTGGCTGAGGGGACATCCATCCCACCACCCATGTCCAAAGATGATGTTAAGTGGCCCTGGTCTCAGTACCAACCCTTGGGGACCCCACTCCTCAGAGGTCTCCATGAACCCCAACTCATCATCTATGTCTTTCTCTCCCTTAGACTCAGACTCATAGAATGGTTGTGGTTGGAAGGGACCTTAAAGACCATCCAGATCCAACCCCTGCATGGGCAGGGACACCTCCCACCAGCCCAGGCTGCTCCAAGCCCCATCCAACCTGCCCTTCAACACCCCCAGGGATGGAGCCCCCACAACCTCCCTGGACCACCCACCCCTTGCCCCTGCTCCCCTCACCGTGCAACCGTCCTCCAAGACGCTGTAGGTGAACCTGCTGTTGCCCTCAGCTCTGATCTCCACGTCGTTGGAGCCCTGGATGAGGATGGCCTTCTTCAGGTTCCCTGTCTCCTCGTCCATGTAGGCCACGCTGTTCTTGCAGTGGTAGGTGAGGTTCTGGGAGCCCTCGGTGGACAGGAGGCGCAGGAAGGTCATCTGGATGTTGGCCGTGTTGGGGGCCAGGTCCTCCTCACCGTAGCTGAACTGGAGGGGAGAAGGGGAGACATTCAAGCCCTCCAGCCACTTTTTGAGGTGGTTCCCAGCCTGGGTGTTCCCAGGTGGCTGCCCAAAGCCGAGCCAAACTGACCCAACGCCAGGATTTCAAGCTCTACGACAGCCGGGGCCTCCTGTGGTGTCCATCAACACAACCACCCCCAAGGAAGGACATCCCCAACCCCAAGGAAGGACATCCCTAACCCTAAGGAAGAACATCCCCAACCCCAAGGAAGGACATCCCCAACCCTAAGGAAGGACATCCCCAACCCTGAGGAAGGACATCCCCAACCCCAAGGAAGGACATCCCCAACCCTAAGGAAGGACATCCCCAACCCTAAGCAAGGAAATCCCCACCCCCAACGAAC